GCTCCGCCGGGCGTCCTTCAGCGTGGCCTCCTGCAGCAGCGTCAGGGCTGGTGGAGGCAGCACCTGGGCAGCCCGAGACACCGCTGACATCTTCAGCAAGGGTAGGTGGGAGCAGTGGTCACCCCAGCGTGGCTGCCCTTAACGCCAGGCTGAGGTGGGACCCATCGTTTCTAATTCCAATGATGTGGCAGCTACAAGGAGGACTCATCTTCTGTTGTCTGCCTGTGCAGAGAGACACCATCCCATCCTTAAAGCATCTTTTTTCAGTGGTCCCTGGCTCTTGTTTCCTGCTGTCTCCATCAGCGGGCTTCCCTGCAGCCAGCTGGTAAATCCATGTGGATAAAGGGAGAGCAGGAGATACAGGAAAACGGCCGTGGTCACCGCTGCAGGGATATGCGGTAGGGTTTGCTTCGCGTTCACCGACGGTGTGAGGGAGGGAAAGGATGTGAGCGCTAATTCGTGCTCTGCATTAGTGTCATCCATGGTAGTTTAACTGCTTTGCGAGGAGAGCGGCGGGTGAGCCTGGGGAGGGAGGATGAGATAGTTCGGAGTGATGGAAGTGTTCATGGCCAATAAAGGGCACGAGGGTGATGTGGCCAAAACAGCTGGAGAGAAGTAGGACCTCTGCCCACAATCTTGGTTGTGTCGTGCTCAGAGTGGAGGGTGGAGAGGTGGCAAACATGAAGCCCAGAGCAGGGAGCAGATGAGGTTGAAGGTACGTGACACGTGGGGTGGGTTTTCCAGGAGAAAAGGTGAAGAAAAAAGAAGGAGCAGAAGATGGTGGTGAAGTTGGGAGTTTGGGGAATGGGAAAAAGCCATGGAGTTACCCATCCCTGGAGCAGGGTGGGGAGGACTTGGAGGGGATGTCCTGTTTTTGCCACGATGATCTCGAGCTGGCGTTGGGACATCCGGGAAGGCTTACGAGCGGGAGAGGCTGGGTGGAGACGTTGGCCTGCAAGCTCTTGGAGGAGAGATGAGCTCAGCAGGGAGAGGGTGTCGAGGGGGGCTGAGTGCTGAGCCCGTGGGGCTGGCATGGGGGCGAGCACACGGGGGGATGTGGTGGTAGGGACAGGCTCAGTGGGATGTCCTGGAATGCTTGGGGGAAGTAGGGGACAGGCTGGGAGGGTGGGGGACACCGGAGGAGGAGGACATGAACGTCTTGCTCCATCATAGTCGCAGAGGAGCTGACATCTCCCCGCACCTTGTTTCAGCACGGGGTGAAACGTGTCTGTCTTTCACCGCCATGGTGGGAGGTGGGACAGTCCCTCACCTGGGGCTGAAGCTGGGGTGGAGAGGGGAAGGGATGGAGCTGGCAGGTTGTGGGATGGCATCCACCATGGGAAGAGAGGAAGAGTTTGAAGGAAGGGTTTTTGGGAGGCTCCGGGCTCATTTTCTCCCATCATACCATCCTATTTCTGCAAAAACAGTTAAACTTGAAAACATAGCCCTCAACCCCTGCCGCCCATGGAGGCCAAAGCGAGAGAAGCCATTGGTTTTACCATGAACCCTGTAGAAAGGTGAGCTTGGAGAGCACTAAACCAGAGCGCTACAACTAAAGAAAGGTGACAACACAGAGCGTTAGTGCAGCCGGCCCCAGCAGCAGCCTGTGCTGAAGCGAGCAGCTCCAGACCATAGGGAACAGCGTGAAAAGGATGCAGCTGAGTGCCCCTGGCTTGTGGAGGGACAAGGGACAAGTGAAAGGCACTGGCTGGGGGGAGCTTGGAGTCTAAATCTAGATAGAAGGAAGAAATTTTTTGCAGTGAGGGTGGTGAAACACTGGAATGGGTTTCCCAGAGAGGTGGTAGATGCCCCATCCCTGGAAATATTCAAGGCCAGGTTGGATGGGGCTCTGAGCAACCTGATCTAGTTGAAGATGTCCCTGCTCACTGCAGGGGGGTTGGGCTAGATGACCTCTAAAGGTCCCCTTCAACCCAAAGCATTCTGTGATTCTAAGATGCAGCCAGGGACCTGCGGCCTCGTGCCTCCATCCCTGGGCTGGGGGGTGCTGGATTTGGAGGGGATGCGGTGCCAGATGCCCAGGAAGCCCCAAGCTGATCCCAGCCAGTGCAGTTCTTGTCCCCTCCCAGCCCAAACGCACGCTGACAAGATGTTTCCAGCAGCGCACAAAGCAGCGGTGGCCCCTTGGCTGTGGGCAGGGCCCACACTCGAGCACTGTTTTAAGCAGATGAATATCAGCGCCCTCTCGACAGGAGGAAGTCTCAGACTTACTGAAATCTAAGATAAGTGGCCTCTTCAGCCAGCGGTGTGTCAAGTGGTTAAGGCAGAAGATTAGCGAGCAAGCTCTCCTTCCACTGATGGGAAAGCAGGGATGCAGCCTGTGGTCCAGACACCAGCATCTCCCGAGACGATACAGGAGGAGGGAGCAGGAGAGCCTCAGTGTCCCCTTTACACTGTCAAGAGGCCCCACGTGGGCACCTCTCCTCCAAGCCCTGCGCTCTGTGGAGGAGTCCAGCAGCCATGAGGTGTTGGCAGCACGTGCTGGTTTTATGCAGCTCAGTGGAGCCAGATGCCAGGAGAAGAAAACCCCATGGCTCACTCAGCACAAACTTATTATTTAATAGACAAAGTAAATATGAAGAAAAGACGTTTCCCCCCCTGCCCGGTGCTGAAATTTACAGCTGTGAGAAGAGCCAGGGTGCTGCGGAGCCGGGGTATCTCCGGGTGACATTTACAGGGCTCAGCTTTCATCGCAGCTTGGAAAAATCCCGTGCGCAGAGATTATCTCCACGCCGATCTGGATTGTCTTGTTCAGCTTTGGCCCTCATCCTAGATGGACAACGAGCAGAAAACTTGGCCAGTGGCCTGAGGTCGGTGGCCTCCTCTGCATGAGCTGGGAAGAGGAGGAACGGTCTCCAAGGTACTTGAGAACTTGCAGCCCTGGAGGGCTGAAGAGATGGAGCTGGGGTGGTGGTGAAGCTGAGGTCCCCCCCCCCGAGGATTTAGTGCTGCACCCTTGGCCAACGGAGCCCTTGAGAGAGGCGATCCCTGCTCTGTGCTGCTCTGGTGAGATCCCTGGTTCGCATCGAAGTGGATCAGCCCACGGTGGCTCCACCTCGGGGTCTCCCCGGGGTGTCAGTCCCCCTGGCACCCTTTGCCAAAGGTTTTCTGGAGCTGGGGCTGCGCAGGCGGGAGAAAGGCAGTCGGGGGGTTACTGGGGGGATGCCTCGATGCAAACCTCCCTCGCCCTGCGCTGCTTCGAGTCAGTTGTCAGCAGCCTTCCAGCCGGATGGTGTCTGGAGACCTTCCAGCGACCACAGACTCTCCCCCAGCCCATCACTGCCACAGTGCAGACGGGATTTAACGTGCGTCTGCGCGTTCCCCCAACCTTTCCCCTCTCAGGATGAAGCAGGGAAGAAAAACAAGACTGCAGGTTTGCAGGGACCCCCTCCTACAGCCCAGAGGGTGATGGTCACAGCTCCGGGCTTTTCTGGACCACGCAGGGAGCTCCCAGCTTGCACAGGAGGGCTCGGCAATGCCACCCCACGCTGGCTCCTCGCCGCACCGAGGGCAAATGTTCCTGTTGGCTCGAGATGCCATTTCGAGGTTTTTCTCCGCTCCCCGCTTGCCTCTCGACTTGCAGACAAGTGGGTGAGGGAGAGAGGAACCGGTTCGCTTTCCACCTCCCCTCGCAGTGCCCCTCTGCTTTTCAGTTCTCCAAATATTTCGTCCTGCAGCCCGGCAGCGAGGACTCTGCACTAACCCGATCCCAGGCAGAGGGGAAGCCGGAGCGGGCAGGACAGCGCGTTATCCTCATGGCATCGCTCCAGGCCCGCGTGCGAGGAGCGGGACGGGGCAGCTGGGGCCCTGCTGCTCCGAATCCCGGTGGTCGGGCACACGGCAGCATCCCTCGGGCTCAGCGGAGCATGAGCATTGCTTTCCCCCCCCAGCCCCCAGCAGCATCTTTCCCCCCCCTATTAATTGCTCCACTTCATACTTTCGCTTTTCTCAGTAGCCAGCGGGACAGGGACTGCCCCCAGATCCCTCACCGAGTGCGGAGAAAAGCCATGTGGAGGAAGAGGAGGAGACCTGGTTGTGGGATGCTGGTGAGCAAGGCGGGGGCAATTATGGGACAGAGGAGAAGAAATCCCCTGGGATTTCTTCCCAGCAGCT